ACATTATTTTTATATTGGTATCTGTGCATGTGAAGAATTAAATACATTTCCCAGATTTTATAAACTGGTTTTGGAGGGTAAAGATTTTTTCTTTTGAGTACTAAGGCTAAAGGTCTCTCCACTAGGTTTTCAATGAAGAGTTGCTGTGGATAGGTCACAAGACTGCCGCTTGCTCTGCAGTGGAGTCTGCATCTGGTGGGCCCGTTCCAAAGGGCTTGGGTGATTTTCAATCCTCTCTTGTTGCTGGGTATACTGGTTGCCTTCAGGATTTTGATGTGTATGACACATACTAGGGCATGGTTGTGCATTTCAGTCTGCATATTTTCTGGCTAAACCCATATACGTGGGTGGGTGTGGCTCCCAAGTTATACCTTGGAAGAGTCCCTGCAGGTCACTGTGTGGATCTATGCACTGAAAGAACTGGACATGGACTATAGTTGAGACTGCTGTAGTAGAGTCACAGTTCTACTTTACAGATGATAGCAAGACCAAGTTATTGAGGTCTGCTTCAATGGCTGCATATACGCCTGTCTCTCCCAAAGTCTCTGGATGAGCAGCACCACTCCGACTTTGTCATAGGGAACCATTGGAGACTCTGTATCCAAGATGGTTGACCCATGTTGCAGTCTGTATTCAGGACAATGGGTCCTTACGTTTGTCACCGGGATGAGAGCCTCAGTACTCACAATGACCATGCAGACCTATGGTTCCACTAGTGTTTAATGACTTTCCATTTAAGTCCTCAAATTCAGATAATTGTAATTGTATATGAATGGCTGCCAAATTTTTGTTGTTCTTTGGGAAAAACAAAAACAAAAACAATTGGATCCTTCCCCTCCCACCATATAGCTGATTTGCTCTCCTAATGTATTTTAAATTTGTGATCTATTATATTTCAATTGTTATAATATTTAGAATCAAAGATTCAGAATAACATAGTAGCATTTCAATTTCTCTACATTCTCTTCATATGTATGTATCTGCATATGCTTTTATTTACTTAAAAGTTCTCAATGTAATGGGTGTGGGGTGATATCTCATTGTCATTTTGTTTTGCATTTCTCTAAAGATTAACAATTTCTAGAATGCTTTCAAATTATGTTTGGCCATAAGTATATCTTCTTTGCAGAAATGCCAGTTCAATCTATTTTCCATTTGTTAGTAACGTTATTTACCTTTGTTTTTGAATTTTGATCATTGTTTACTGATTCACGATGTTAACTTCTATCAAATATGTGGTTTGCATCTATTTTTACCCATTTTTTAGGAGGCCTTTTTACTCCACTAAGTTTTTCCTTTGTGCAGAAAATTTGAATTTGTATACAATCCCATTTTTTTTCTCTTCCTTTTTCTTGATTATGCATTTGATGTTACATCTACTAAAACAGTGCCAGGACCAATATCATGATGTTT